GTGTAATGGGACTTTTGTCGGGAGAATTCTACAACTTAGAAGAAACATACACACTTTAAACTTTGTATACACATTCAGAAGACATGAAATTTGGGTTTGCTCAATTTTCAGACCAAAAAACAGAAAATCGTCAATTTTAGGCAAGTTTTCTCAAAAACCGTGTTTTTTGGTCGTCCATACCGCGAGAACTGTGCATCGGATCAAAATTTCTCATGAGACATGAAAATTAACATTTTCCATATAAAAATTAACATTTTTCATAAGCTTTCAAATGTCGTAACCTGCGTTTGAAAAATACTGATTTATTTCGGACATGCGCCTGCGCAAAATTGAAAAATTGGCAAAATCCAAAATTTCGGCACTTTCGAAAAACTGCTACATTTTGTTTTGCCTTTTTTCGAAAAGATCACCTCAAAATATATAGAATCCATCTAATTACAATTTAATGTAATAAGCTCAAAACCCGTAATTTAATTCGATTACTAGTGTTTTCTTTTGATCCCAGACTACACAAAGGTTCACAGAGATCTGTCCAATGTGATATCCTGGACCTTAAAAGGTTGGTACTTATTTTTAACTTAATTTTGGGCTACATTACCACTGAAATTGACCCTGGTGTAACTGTCTACACTATTTCTGTGTTATTATTTATAAGGGGATCAGTACAACGAAGGAGTTTGATCCTTATTCTGCAACAAAGGATCTGGCGCGATATAAATCCCACACCGCAGAAGGGTTAGTCGGTGTAACTTTTACCAGGATTGCTTCTGATAATTGGTAATTTGGCTCTTTGGGGTTAAGTAGTATACTATTTTTGGGGTAAATAATTCTATTAAAAAAAAAAAAAACGGTAACGTAAATTTATGACAAAGAAACGACAAATTATCCATATAAAACATTTAATTTTTGCTCATTTTCGTGATTGGTTATTTTGAAAAGGGGATGAGCGATAAATTTTCTTTTTCGCAACAAATTTACGACAAAAACGCGACAAATTTTCCAATATTCAAAAATCCAAAATTGTGGTAGTTTTAACTTCACAAACGTCAATTATTATTGCAGATTAGTTTTATTAATAACACATTGATTAAAGATTTTTTAAAAAAGTCCTTGAAGACAGATTTGTAAATTTTACATCAAGGTATGGTATAAAAGGTATCTGATAAAATAGTCTTAAAAAATATTTTTTTTACAGATGATGCTACTATAGCATTATCTGCCAACTGCTCTGTATTAAAGCAATTTCTGTTCGGTATATATTTAGACCTCCCGAAAGCATTTGGCACAGTTTACTTTTACAGTTTACTTTTAGATATCTTAAAAGAAGCTGATATAATAGAAAAATCACTCAAATTATTTGAAAGCTATCTTCAAACGGACAACAAGTTACAAGAGTAGATTGTCTCTATAGTGATTTAGGCTTAATAACTTACGGTATCCCACTTGGTCCAAATGTATTTTAATCTTTATATTACCGGACGACATTACAGTATTATATAAATTAAACTCAAGATTATAACTAAAGCAGAAACATAAATTATAGGTTATAAACGTCAAATTTTACAAATATAAATAATTGCAGAATACAAGGAGTACTCGATTCCGATAAGTATAGCAGTAGTCTCTGTATCTAAGGATCTCAATTTCCAATTCTAAAAATGTTAACCTGATACATTATATTTATAAATGTAAAAAAAAAGGAAAATATTATTACCTTTATTAGAGATAGTGTAATCCCATTGCGAGTAGGCATAGCCTCTAGGGATTATTTTGATATAAAATACGTTGACATGCGATACAATATTAAATAGCGAAATGTGTTTTCTCAGTGAATATGTACTGAGGGACACAAATTATTTCCCCGATGATTTAGTTTTCCACCACACCTACGTAACGTGACTCACGGTAATTCGGGAACACCTTCGCTTATCATATTAACATGGCATGCAAGTATTTTTTATTAATCAGATGATACTTCATTTCACATCGCTTGCATAACTCGAAACAAGGTGACCAAACAATTGACGATTTATTTTTCGATGTCTTTATGTTCTGTAAGTACTTGTTAGAAGAAAATCCAGCCTCTAAAATTAACAAGTAAATACTTCCATCAGTAGACCACATTATTCATTTAAAACTAAAAAAATAACCTTTGAATAAAAAGGCCAATAACAACGCCATAGTATTTTTTTGTAATAAAATGCTCATGAATAATAAAAAAATTAATCTGGAGAGCATGGCTTCCATGTAAAAATGTAAACAAGTATGATTTTAGAAGTAATAGGCTGCAGGATACTAAAAAGGTATGGTCCGATTACAATAAGATGAACACAGCTACGTTATCAATCGGCGGAGTAATTCGTTGGATATCGCCACCAACTGGGGATTTAGTGGCGTGTTAATATTATAAAAATGTAGGAATACTATTTTCAAACCAAACAACGCATATATTCTTTATTTATTGATAGTTATAGGTGGTATACGAGGTATACACAAGTGTCGATTTGGCTTTCTGTAAGAGTGGCACACTATACTTTTACTACCACCACAATCACTAAAACAAATATTAAACATTTTTTTACAATAATGTTACGCAGCACCATGTAGCGTGCTGCGGTCGTCATAAGTAAAGGTACGAGTAAATAAAGAGAATATTCCCGAAATGTCTCGAAATGTCATTCCTTGTCAAAGAAAAGTCCAGATTGTTCGAGAAGGGCGAGGCAAGCTATACCGGGTGTTCAACTTAAAGCGTTACAGCTATATACCGATTTTTATAAAAAAAAAACGTATCAGACGAAAGTTTTATAGTTTTGTGGGGAAAAACTTTCGGCTAAAATCGTTTTTTATAGCTAACCAGAATATGGCCAACTTTTTTTCGCGCAGCAACATTTTCAAGTAGCTTTTACTCAAAGAGTAAAAGTCCAATAAAAAAAATATTTTTCTCAAAAGTTTCTTATTTTTTTATGTACTTTAAGAATATGTAAGAAAAAAATGGGATTCCCATTTAAAAAAACAAAGTCTACCTCGATATGGCCATATTATGGTCAGCTACAAAAAAATGAATTTAGCCAAAATGTTTCCCCCAAAAAACTATAAAACTTTTGGCTGAAACTTTTTTTCTAAAATGCATATTTTCGGCGGTATTTGACTGTAACATTTTAATTTGAACACCCGGTATAAGTCGTCAGTTGGCAGTTTTATGATAGACGTTACATGTGAATGTTAACAGTTAGAGTTATTGGATCAGTTGAATTGAGTTATTGTAAAAGTTGAGTTCAAATAAATTGTGATACCAAAAACCAGCGTAACATTGGTGACAGCGGTAGGATACAAAAGATTTAAACATTAATAATAATGAATAATTAACAGAGATTAAAAAGAAAACGTAATTTATCATTTTAAGAAAGAATGGTATTTAAATAACGACACCAATAAATATTCCATATTTAACTTAAAATCTTTTACCATAGCTCAGGCCTATAATGAACAAAATCAATTTAATTTTTAATGTTTTATAAAATATTTAAACAAAATGGAATATTTAACTGGAGGTGTATAAATATACTTTTCTAATTATTATCTCAAGTGGTGACCTACGTCTTCCACTTCAGATTAAGATATTTTTTGTGATAATATTAATTGTAATATTTCACATAATAACATTTTGTAATAATATTTTATTTAAATTGAGAAAAATATGTATCTTTTCCGAAATACAGGATGTTAAATACATTTTATGTCTGTGTCAGAGGGATTATGCACATCATAAGTGAATCATTTAAAAAGAATGAGGTTGAGGACTGTTCATTAGGTTACCGAGCATTTCACATTACTTATTACCAAGTCCAGTACGAACATTATTGTACTGTTTCATATGAAGAAATTCCAATAAATTGGTAATCAGGATTATTTAAATGCAATAAAAAAAATTCACAGATAATATATGTTTCAGAAGTAAACATTTTCCTTAAAAACATATTAAAAAATCAAGTTTGTATCTACATCCCGCTAGGCACAAAACACTTTCGAAATTTCAAAACTGTATAGTCGTAAATGGCACAATAGCTGTATTGCGGGAAAAAGGGTGACGTAATCACCTTGCCAATTTCGGACTATAGCAAAAAAGCCAAAGACCTCGAGGCAATACAAATGGAATACTGCGCAAAATGTTGAACTATTTCAACAATTTATATAGTAAGAGATAATTAAAGTTAATTGTCGGAAGTAGTGTCCAATTATAATTAGAAGAACACAGCTACGTCATCATTTCGCGAAGTAATTCATTAGCTACCTTCGCCTATACTAGGGGTTTAGTGGCGTGTAAATATTATAGGAATATAGGATATATGTTTTTATATCAATAAATAGGTTACTTTTTCATTATTTATTGATAGTTATAGATAATATATAATTGAAATTAGAAATAATGGTTATGACGAAGTGGTGTTCTTATTGTAATAGGATTCTACCTTAAAATCGCATCTATACTGTTTCGACTCTAAACAAAATAAATATTGTAAACACACATCGGGAGTCGAATATTCAGCTGGACCACTGTTTTAGTGTTTAATTTGTATTAGTAATACAAATTCTGTAAACATACCAAGTTGAGCGAAATACTTTGATTTGTATAGAAGTCGAATGTGAATTTTTCCTTTTTTTTTTTGTAAATTTTAAAAGGATCCAAGTAGCACTTTCTTTAATTTATTCTTATAGAATTTACCACAGAGATATTTTTCGATGAATCGGGAATACGTAATATAATATGTTTTTAAAATAAGACAATCATATAGATAATACTGACCTACTTTATTATTTTTTTAATCAAACACATTTGCTTAAGTATCTACAATAAACTTTTCTTTTAGCTTTTATCTCAGCTATTTATTTTTATCTTATATTAGTACATTAGTTCTGTGCTGAATGTGGATACAGTGTATAATTTTTCTTTAGGAATTTATGTCATTGATGCGAGGGAAGTGGTAAGTAAAAAGTTAATAAAACGATGTAATAAAATTTTTAATTTCTAGAATAGAACATAACAACTCTTGCAATTTATTTATTGTTAAATTAATACACATTAGTTATTATCACATCCAGATATAGCGACAACCTCGGCTGGACATTGAACTTCCTGGAAAGTAATGTCGGGGTTATCGGCACCTTCCATAAATTCGAATCTAAATCTGCATCCAGGTTGTAGAACTTCGGGCAACAATTGACATTCCTCTATGGTGGAAACTCCACCGTATCTTTTACCCCAACCGTCTTCAGGAGCATTCCATTGCGTCATGCAGCCTATGTTGAAGATTCCGACACCGCCTCCGGGAATTTGAAGATCGAATTGGTTTTGGTTGAGTTCAGTTCCTTAAAAATGTAATAAATCGTTACAAATTCATTTTCTTCGATGATTATCTGATTTACAATTGAAACACTGAGAGTTTGCTGTCAGTCTCCCAGAGATTGACTCCGAATACAAACTGAATATTAATACTGTTGATCCCTTTCCTCAATACCTACTTACCTGTGTTTACGTTTTGAACTAAAAATTGTTTTCCGGCCAATTTGCCCTTGAATGAGAGAAGAAAACAAGCGCAGCACTTGCTAACATCTTCGCCACCTGTAAACGAAGCAGCAGACCATCCGTAGGCCAAAGTGTCGTTCACCACAATCGGTTGTTGGCTATTGCAGGTATAAGCTACTCCTCCTTCCACGCATCCGGATTGAGCATTATCGACTTTGGTGCTGTTGGTCACACCATCAATTTTACAGGTCTGATCTGGAATTCCGTTTTTGGTGTTCTTGGTGTTGCCGTCCCAAGCGCAAGAGGGGGCGCAACAATCCCAGTATCTGGTGGTTATACCATCACCACTGATCCCGTTAGGAATTAGAATTAGGTCGGGTGATGAGTTCCTAATAGCCGATGAGCTAACTGAAAACATTATTAACAAAGGACAATTAACAAAAATTAAAAAAGAATGCAATTTAAATATATATGAAGTGTAAGAATAAAATTATCAAAAAATAACTTTTATTATACTAAATAAAATAATTTTACCGTAGCTCAGGCCGACAATAAACAAAATCAATTTCATATTTAATTTTTTATAAAATGTTTCGCAAAATAAAATATTCAACAGCAGGAGTATAAATACCTTTTATTATTATCTCAAGTAGGTACTGACGCCTAAGATATTTGTTGTCAGATAAGATTTGATAAAAATTGTGTAATAAAAATAATTTGTTTTAATTTGAGAAAAATATTTCTTTTTTGAAATAAAAGATGTTTATATGCATATTATGTCTTTGTTAAAGAAGTTATGAATGTTACAGACATTTAATAATAATAATATAATAATAATAATAATACTCTCGGTAATTCACCCAATTACGAGTGAATTTCAACACCTGAAGCCGACTGAGCGACTTGTATAGGGGAAGGGCCGGCTATTATTATTAATATTTGCCGTGGCGCTCCAGGGCGCCTTAAAGATGATTGATGATGGCATTTGACTTGCAGGTGAGGAAAACCACACCCACCATATTAACAGTAATTACATTTTTGCTAATACGGCATCCATCAAATCCTATAGAGGACCACGCAAATTAATTCACATTGACTTCTGTAGGATTCGAAGCCCGGTGTCTGTCTACCACAAAATTGCTCGCAAGTAAATAACAGAGCTGTTGACGCCTACTCTATCGTCCTGATTTATAGTAGAAAAAGAAGTTGAATTTAAAATAGACCAAAAATAAAAACTGGAAAAACAAAAAGATACTGTGGGAGTGGGCATATAAGGAGAGTAATAAAGATATGTAAAATAAAATAAATGTTTAATAATCTAAAAAGAAAGTAAGAACGAAGATATAAAAGTATAAAAAATATAGTCATAAATAGGGGGTTAAGGGGAGTCTGGTAAACTGTGAAGAGTATAATATAGAATGCCAAGCATTATATATCTTATTCTAGTTGGAGGGTTGATAAGCTTACAATGAATTGTATATATCCCAATTTCTTTCTCTTATGCATGACTGTCACAAATATGGCCATACGTATATGTAGGTGTCTGTATGCACGATACCTCAAAAATGTATGCAGAGAAAAACAATAAATTTAAAATTTAAGCTTTAACCTATCCTCTAATGAGTTGATTAGATTTTGGGCATATTCGGAACAGCTGGGGGTACTTTATAGAGAGTCATTTTTCTACTTTAAGGAATATATCTGTTATTTACGCTTGAAGAAAAAAAATCGTCAAATAAAAGTGGGTTGTGATATAAAATTCAATTAAAAAAAAGTGAGAAAAGTATGTAGGTATTTGAATTTTGACCTACCCTGTACAGGGCATAGTGTATCGGCATAAAATGTAGACTAATATCGAAAATCTTTTACCACAAAAGATTGGTTTTTAATTGTTTCTTTTGCAGTATACAGGCCATTGAGATCAAAACGATTTTCATATAAAATTCGTATTAGCGTATACTCTGTATAATCTCATACTATTTGGTATTGTTATAATCGAAAAAGCGAGGGCAATTCAAATATAAAATGAAAGGCATTCCATTTAAAAAACCTGACTTTAATATGTTTCATTTTTTTGAAGAACCCTGTATGATTAAAATCATTTTTAAATTATCTTTTCGGACATACATCTCGTTGTGAAAACAAATTTTAAAAAATCAAATAGTTTTGGCTCTACAGGTGGCCCAACTTGTACATAAGTTATTACCTTACAAGGTTCATTTTTCAAAATTTCAAATAGACATATCAATAAAGAATTTCTGACTTGTTTTTAGAGGAAACAAAATATTAAAAAGTACCTAGGGAGAAACGCATATACTCGTATAAACTTAGCTAAAAATATTAAACTTTGGTAAAAAGTGTTGTTTTATTCATAAAGACAGAGCAATAGGTATTTATTACTAAATTTAAAACCAATAATTACAAAGTATGGCAGTAAGTTATATTTCATTCGCAAATAAACATATTTTTTAACCATATTTGTTAATAATATATCGAATTATTTATTTAATTAAATTTTCAAACGCTCGTATAAAAATTGTATTTATTCCGGCCCTGTTCTTCTTCAACTATTACAGTAATAGAAATAACAAAAGTTTTATAGCGACATCTGTGATATTACCTTGAACTTCTTACTGCACAAATTTCTACAAACTGTGGTTAGGACAGACCTTATTTTTAATCCGCATTGTCCCTAGCCGACTCTTTTCTTTTCTTTTCGATTCGATTTGATTCTTTTTGATTTTTTTCGATTTTTTTCGATTCTGTTCGATTCTTTTCGATTCTTTTCGATTCTTTTCGATTCTTTTCGATTCTTTTCGATTCCTTTCGATTCTTTTAGATTCTTTTAGATTCTTTTCGATTCTTTTCGATTCTTTTCGATTCTTTTCGATTCTTTTCGATTCTTTTCGATTCTTTTCGATTCTTTTCGATTCTTTTCGATTCTTTTCGATTCTTTTCGATTCTTTTCGATTCTTTTCGATTCTTTTCGATTCTTTTCGATTCTTTTCGATTCTTTTCGAACCTTTTCGATTCTTTTCGATTCTTTTCGATTCTTTTCGATTCTTTTCGATTCTTTTCGATTCTTTTCGATTCTTTTCGATTCTTTTCGATTCTTTTCGATTCTTTTCGATTCTTTTCGATTCTTTTCGATTCTTTTCGATTCTTTTCGATTCTTTTCGATTCTTTTCGATTCTTTTCGATTCTTTTCGATTCTTTTCGATTCTTTTCGATTCTTTTCGATTCTTTTCGATTCTTTTCGATTCTTTTCGATTCTTTTCGATTCTTTTCGATTCTTTTCGATTCTTTTCGATTCTTTTCGATTCTTTTCGATTCTTTTCGATTCTTTTCGATTCTTTTCGATTCTTTTCGATTCTTTTCGATTCTTTTCGATTCTTTTCGATTCTTTTCGATTCTTTTCGATTCTTTTCGATTCTTTTCGATTATTTTCGATTCTTTTCGATTCTTTTCGATTATTTTCGATTCTTTTCGATTCTTTTCGATTCTTTTCGATTCTTTTCGATTCTTTTCGATTCTTTTCGATTCTTTTCGATTCTTTTCGATTCTTTTCGATTCTTTTCGATTCTTTTCGATTCTTTTCGATTCTTTTCGATTCTTTTCGATTCTTTTCGATTCTTTTCGATTCTTTTCGATTCTTTTCGATTCTTTTCGATTCTTTTCGATTCTTTTCGATTCTTTTCGATTCTTTTCGATTCTTTTCGATTCTTTTCGATTCTTTTCGATTCTTTTCGATTCTTTTCGATTCTTTTCGATTCTTTTCGATTAATCCATTATTTTTGATTAATTGTTTTTGCAATAATTGATTATTTTTATAAATCGATTATTTATTTCTCACTAGAGTACAGCAAGTTAGTTAATAGTGTAGTGTTTGAAAAATAGTATAATATTGTAATCGATTAATCAAAATCGAATTTAATATCTCTACAAAAACGAAATATCCGATTAATCTAAAATAACCGATTTTTGTATTTTGTTCGGGGTTTGCAGTGCTTATTTGGAGTTACTTAATACGATTGCTTTTACTTATAGTGTGGTGTAGTGTAAATAAAGTTTTAAACAGTTCTACCGGGCGAAATTTGAACAAAACCCATTATTTTCATCTTGGCTTTGCAATGCCGAGGGTGGGTATAGTGGCTTTTGTATAGCAACGTAATTTAATCAAGAATTGCTTTACTAAAAAAAGTAAAGGTTTGTGCAAAGTATAAAAAGCATATTTCAGGATTCACTGGCAGCTCTTAGGTTTGTTATCTCTAAAAATTAAAAATGTTTGCTTTTTTAGATTAAACTAAAATGTCACGAGTTTCAGACAAAATAAAAACGGTAGTTTCTGCGCTTGTACCATTTCTATTAATGGATCATCTAAGTGATGGTCTTTTATTGCAATCGAAGCAACCAACATCATTCTGGGCTAAAGCTACTACATTCGAAACCGTTGTCCAACGGGAAAACACCCTATGAATTATGGAAAGCCAAGAAACCAAATGACAGCCCTTTACCTAAATAGGGTACCTGGAAAGGGAAAAGTCGATTCAAGGTGCAATTAGGGAATATTTGTAGGTTGCTTTGAACAATCTAAAGGCAATCGCATTTGGATACCTAAAGATAGAATGACTGTAATTAGCAGAGACGTAAAATTTTTTGAACAATCCGAAGAAAAACTTAATAAATTTGCTGATTTTAATGCCAGTATCACATTACCAAACAGCAAAAATTGAATTGAAACCTCTGAAAGTGACCAATGAAGTGTATGTGGAAAATAATGAAATACACATTAATCCTGAACCTGAAAGTAGTCAAGTATCAATTACTTTTGCACCTCCTGAATTGAGTAGAGGACGTGGTCGCCCGAGATTACTGAAAACTGGCTCCCGCGGAAAACCCAGAAAAAATACAAAGAAATTTCGAACGCAAAAATTTCTGAATATAAGTCAGAAGTGCTCATATTAGAAGTTCCTTTGATACAAGCAATGAATAGACCAGAACATGACGACTAGTATCTAGCGATTACTGAAGCAATTACCTTAATAATTAAAAACGATACTTGGATCATTGTGGATCGCCCAGAGGGTCACAATATTGTTGGAAGTAGAAATATCCTGAGAAATAAGTACAATTCAGATAGTACATTAGGTAGTAGAAAGGCACGATTGATCGCACAGGGTTTCAGTCAACAACCTGGAATACATTTTAATCAAACTTTTCGCCAGTAGTTAGAATAAGCATAATTTGTCTAGTGTCAGCACTGGCAGCCAGATATGGTATGAAGCTTGATCAATTGGATGTAACATGTGCTTAAATAAAGGGCATACTGGAAGAAACCATTTATATGGAATGTCCAAAACAATTAAAAGAAGTTTTAGGATACATTTTAGAAAACCCGAATACCATACCTTAGATTAAAACCAAAGCATCAGATATGCTTAGAGAACTACAGCAAGGTAATAAAGATTGCCTACTAAAGAAATCTCTACACGGGTTACGGCAGTCAGGAAGAAGTTTGAATAAGAAGCTAAATGAATTCCTGATTTTGTTCGGAGTAGAACCTACTCTGCTAATCCTTGCTTCTACCGAATAGGTGAAAACCAGGACAAGATGCTTGTACTTATTT